TGCAATATACTCCCATATCCTCTAAAACGTTACCTGGTCGTGGTCTTAGCTTAGTATTCTGTCTTCTTTCTCTGCCCTATTTTTGTTTTTTGCAGTGTGTGTATTTGATCATCCACAACAAAGGCACAGAAACAGAGAGATGTACAGTTAAGTTTGAAATATAACATGGCTTCCAAAAGCTATACACAGTAGGTCTATCAAATGCTACCATGTCTTCTAGGCACTTGTATCCAGTGTCTCTGTTGTCTCTCTTTAACATTGCACTTCTTGCTTTCTGTGAGTTTGAACATAAAAGTGGTATGTGAATTCTATAGATAATGTTCTTTCATATAATCTTGGATGTTGGTAAAATTCACAATCTAGGGGACCGATCCTGCACCTATTGAAATGTCATTTGGTTGTTGACTTCACAGGGAACAGGATCGGGCCTCAAGGGTTTTTATTTTATGCACATATGTCTCTGTGGATTTATAACATTCTCTTTGCTGTTAAAATTCTTTTTAGTGTCAGTGACAAAAGATTAAGGCATATGTTTTTAATTGTTTCCCGAGCAGTCTGAGTTTAGAAAGGTGATGTTATGCATACATCCTCATTAGATCTTCTCTTCTCTGAAAGGGGTGAGACAGAAAGATCACAGGTTTGAGCTCCTCTGCATTTTTCTAATAAATGCAGCTGTCAAATTGAGAGAAAAATTACATATTAGGAAATATTTCGCTTTCATTTAGTCCCTTCTGCACTACAGTTTTCTAAGGCTTCATTTATTAATAGAAGTGTCACTCCCTGGAGTAGCTGCATATTTGCTATTTTTCAATTTATACAGATTCACGAATATGTATTTTGACAGGCAGAAATCCAGATACCTGTGTTGGCGAGATGTGCCACTTAAGGTCTGTTGGAATGTAATTTCACAATATGGGAAGGAAAACTGAGGTAGTTTTTCATTCTGCTAGTGAGCTTAAGGGGACAGATATTATTCTCCTAATGTCTGCTCTGCTGAAATGGAAAACTCACAGAAAATAAACAAATCACCCCCCATTGACCCTCACAGAACACAGAGAGAAAAGCCTCCTACCCTTCTATATTAAAATGATGCATGCATACAAAGTTGATCCCCACTCTGAAAGAAAATAATGCATTGCCTTGTGAAGCTTGACTTTCCAATATTGAATGTGAAATTATATTATACAGTATATTTGACTAAAGCTTCTGCATCTCAAACAGATGCCATGTCAATAAAAATATCAGAACTAACTTTATTCACGATATTAAAATTCCTTTACAATTCCCCCACACTGGATTCAGTTATCTGAATGATTCTGATTTTTCTTTTTGCCTGGTAATCTGTCTCCAAGGTGTTATAAAATAACCTGTTTTGTCTGCCTGATAGCCTTTGGTTAGTCAGTTATCTACATAATTACTTCTGTAGTTTCCCAGGCTAAATCTCAACATAAAATGTTATAGTGCAATATATTACATCACAATCTTGCTATAGTGAATTAGACATTTAATTTGACATGTTATATTGGGAGGATTTTGTTTTCAATGGTAATTTGGAAGTTGATTGGACTTTATCACTGCCTTTTGTGTGTTCTGTCATTCTGGATAGTGAAAGAGGATATTCACCAGCAACTGAGTTGGAGGACAGGGGGGAAGGGGTGGAGGTGTGTGTGGCAGGGAAGCTACCAGTGCACAAGAAAGTGAGAATTAAGAGGGGTGGAGGGGAGGAGCTTTCTTTTCTGGTAAAATGGAAAACTTTTTCAGAAGGAAGATGGGGACTCGCTATGTATTTCAGAATTGTCAAGAACATCACCCAGGGGCTCTCAAGGAAAACACTAAATAATATTCAGACACATTTCTGCCTAGACAGCATGTTTTCTCTACATTTCTTTCCCTCTTTTTATATTATTAAAGGCAGCTTGAAAAAAAAAACAGGATTTTTGTGTCTTATGGCCCTGATCCTGGGAACCAATACATTTGCTTAATTGGATTTTAATGGACTACTCATAGCAGTGAGGGTAAGCATGTGCACAGGTGTTTTTAGGATCACAGCCAAGGACTCAACCATATTCCTGTGGCTTATGCCCCACTTAAGTCATGAAGAAAGGATGATAATTTCAAGTGGGGAACAAGAATCAGGTATAGATGAAGTGGTAAGAAATAAATGTCATATTTTGACTCAAACTTGTTTTGTAATGAGATGGAAGAATAAATATAGAAAATGAGATATGAAGAGGAACTTAAGAACATAAGAACAGCCACACTGGGTCAGACCATTGGTTCATCTAGCCCAGTATCCTGTCTTCTGACAGTTGCCAGTGCCAGATGCTTCAGAGAGAATGAACAGAACAGGGCAATTTAGAGTGGTCCAGTCCCAGCTTCTGGCAGTCAGAAATTTAGGGACACTCAGAGCATGGGGTTGCATCCCTGACCATCTTGGCTAATAGTCAATGATGGACCTATCCTTCATGAACTTATCTAATTCTTTTTTGCACCCAGTTATATTTTTGGGCTTACAACATCCGGTAACGAGTTTCAAAGGTTGACTGTGCGTTGTGTGAAGAAGCACTTATGTTTGTTTTAACTTGTTTCTAATTTCTCTTTATATTTTTAAAAGTTCTCTCTCTGGTGTCAGTAGCTCTTTACATTTAAATGTAATTAAACTTCACTTTATTACAGCTCTATCTATCTATCTATCTATTTCATCTTTTGAAATAAAATTTCTCTAAAATATTCATCATTCATATTAATGGGTATATTGTCTTTAGGAAGAATTTCAAAGGAAATATATACTTTGACTGATTAACTATAGAAAGTCCAAATCTGTTTTTATTTTCCTCTCTAAAATAACTGTTCTCTGGCAATGGATTTGGTTTGAAGCATATTTACTCAGTAACAAGTGTCATGCCTTAATAAAAGCATGACACAATGTAATTCATGCCACTTTGATGGAAGGTATCTCACAAGTAAGATTTCAGAGTAGCAGCCGTGTTAGTCTGTATCCGCAAGAAGAACAGGAGTACTTGTGGCACCTTAGAGACTAACAAATTTATTAGAGCATAAGCTTTCGTGGGCTACAACCCACTTCTTCGGATGCATACAGAGTGAAACATTGAGGAGATATATATACACACATACAGAGAGCATGAACAGGTGGGAGTTGTCTTACCAACTCTGAGAGGCCAATTAAGTAAGAGAAAAAAAACTTTTGAAGTGATAATCAAGGTAGCCAAGTACAGACAGTTTGATAAGAAGCAAGTGTGAGAATACTTACAAGGGGAGATAGATTCAATGTTTGTAATGGCTCAGCCATT